TAAAACGGAGTATACAAGATTTTTTCAATACATTTAAAAACATCCTACGTACATGTTATTGACCACAAAAAAGTACGGAGTATGGGGGTGTTTGGAACTGATTCTGCTTCTGCTTCTTTTTTAAAGCAGAATCAGAATCAGTTTCCAGAAGCTGGTCACCTCAGTTTCTAAAAAACTGATTCTAGGAGTAAAAAAGAGCACCAGAATTACTTCTACACTTTTACCCAAACACTCCAACTTCTGCTTCTGCCCCCTCAGGGAGCAGAAACAGTTTTAAGAATCAGATCCAAACACCCCTATATAACTCCATGTTTTAAATGAGCTACAATTTTCACTCCGCAAGACAAGATTTAATAAATCACAATTCGTGCATGACTAGTCGTCATTATTTAAATAAAAAGTACTTGATATTATTTTACATCTCTTATAGTAAGTATATCAAATCCAATTTTTGAAATTTTGGTAAGAAATCATGCTCGTCCATTTCACGTGACAGAATATCTTGTCATTATTATTCTACAAATTTAAATAAGCTAAACGAGGGAAGTCATAACTTACTATCCAAATGGGTGCGAGTAGTGTGTATTAACACCTATAAAAAGGCCTGTGGTGCAACAAATCCTTTCAAGCACAAGCTCTTATACGATTGCAAAGATGACACACTACTATCCTATCAACATTTATTTGGCTCTCCTAATTACAATTGCTGCAGGTATATATCATTTCACTAAAACATTACTCTCCTAAAACATGTAGTTTTGCAGTATCATTTCACCTTTCTTTTACGAATCATTTACCTATGTTTTTGTGCTACTGTAAAACATGCTTTTTGAATATAAATTTTGGTAAGAAATCATTTACGTATTACTTTATACTTCGAGGGTTGCTTTCGGTCCGATTTTGTGTGCCCCTAAATGATATTTTCAAGAAAAACCTCGTGAATATGCCACTTTTTAATATCCAGATTATACTTATATTGCACTAATTTCATCACACTTATATAATTGTTTGCAGTTCACATGATCATTCCTGAAAATGTCTACGTAAACGGTGACAGAATTTGCTACGTTGATCCAAAACAAAAAAATCTTCCATGTGAAGGTGACGGATTGGGGGAAATTTGTATACCCACATGTATTAAGCAATTTGGACCAGGTTCATCTGGGACATGTTCGTGGGATACTCCTGATAAACATTGCCGTTGTTATTTTGTAGCACCTAAATGCCCTTAATTTCTCTTTGCAATGAAACTATTATAGTAATGGAACCACAAGCCATTTTGCTCTTTTAGTCATCCAGAAGAATTTATTTGGCTCATATTGTATTCTACAAAAAGTAACAAGTGTATTCTTAATTAAATTACGTGCACTTTTACTATTTAGAAACCCAATTAGCTTTTGCACCCTGCACGACAACTCCTAAAACGTGGACACAAATAAAAAAAAGGAAAATTACATTTGTGCATATATATAATTACAAAAATGATCTTTGTACCCACTCTTATACCCACTTTTGTACCCACCTATGTTTGTGAAGTGTTTTTTTTTTTGTCTGTGAACCCTGGCTCACAGACAATATTTTGCACAAACAAAATATTGTCTATGAATCGGGTTCACAGACAAAAAAATACCTCCACAAACATGGTGGGTATAAGGTGAGTATAAGAGTGAGTACATCAAGCATTATTGAATTAATTATAGTAGTACACAACCGTACACCAACAATTGTAATTTTTCAAAACTGGACTGCATTTGTATATGGGCAAATTGAACACGCCCCTAATTGTATGTGTAAATAGATATTTCTTTTAGAAAAAGTCAGCAGTTGCATGTGAACACACATGTGTACGATTTATGTATAGATTTTGTGTACAAAAAGAGAAAATCACACTTTTAGTCCCTTAAATAGTCATCGTATTGAAACGTAAGATCCGTGTTTCGGAGATTGTAAATGTTCACCCTCAATTGTCCAAATTGTAGTAAATGTGATCCTTTGGAGGATGAGATGTACGTACTTCTCGCCCACGCTGTAAATTTCACCCCTCAAAGAACCACATTTACAACAATTTGGACAATTAAGTGGTAACATTTACAAACTCGGAACACGGGTCTGACGTTTCAATATGGTAACTATTTCAGGGACTAAAAATGCGATTTTCTCAAATTAATACGTGTGTTGATGTTAGTTTCCTCACACTTAAAATATGTGTAGCAGTATAGAGTATAAGTACGAGTATCGTCTCCACAGGGATGGAAAAAGAGAATTATGTATTAAATAAATTAAGTGATTAAAAATAAATAAATAAAATAAATGAGATTTGATTTTGTTCGGAAATTAATTAATGCAAAAATAAAGCTAAATTAAAGGTTCTTTCTAATTAATGAAGGAAGGGAATATGAATTGATTTCGGGAGCCCGCAATCAGATTTCAGGGCTGATCAGACTTAAACACATGAAAATTATTTAATTGAGCAACGCAGGTCAATACTAAGTTCTTACCGCTCTCGTGGCGTAAGGTACAATAATTTAGAGAACCAGACTGATCTCTCATGCGACAAGTTCCAAATTATTTCCAAAATGAGCGAGCGCACGATTCCCTAATCGTTACTAATTTCTTAGCGTACGATTAAGTGTGTGAAAGTGTCCTAGAATAATTTAGACCTCTCTTAAATAATTTTATGTGCAATCATAATCCTAGCGGCCATTCCGGGTTACAAAAGATATTAATTAAGTTATTTAAACATAAATTAAATAATTAACACACAATTAAACCCTCAAGAACGTATCCTAAATCATGATTAACACCCCCTTCATCAATCTCAAATCCTTAATTAAATGTATTCACAATTCATAATTGAAAGATCAATAGAATTGAGAAGGAAAGAATTAATTATCATTAAAAAAATAGAACTTAAAAATAATCCCAGAATATTAAAGATCCAAGGTTGGAAAGCTCTCATATTTCGTGCTAGACACTCTCTCTAAGCTCTCTCTCCAAAACAGGGGGTTTACAGGCTGTTTAAATAGAAAACGGAGCAACTCTTGCCGAAAAAGGACGCCTGGAGTGCAGGCAGTCAGGCATGAAGTGTGTGGCGTCTGTTCGTCTGGAGCTAAAATGCACAAAATGGTAGTGCAAGGCGTGTGCGGCCTCTAGTAGCCTCTACGTGATTTCTTCTTCCGCACACGGCATGCGTACTTCGGGCGCACGCCATGCATCTTTTTCGTCCGAATTTGACTATGTTTTTTTCCACCAAAGTTGCGTCTAATGAAGTCTTCTATCCACTACAACTTGCAAAACTGGTATTTGATCATCCAATCAAAAGACATGAATAAAATAGTGGAAGGCCGCACCCTGAAATCTCAATAGCAATTACCTGACTTCCTCGTTTGTTTCTCCTTGATCCTCTCACATTCTCGTCACGATGTCTTCATATGATTTGTAAACCTTTAAATTATCTTTCATATGAAACTTTAATCTTATCTTTGTATGTTTCGACAAAAGATATGCTCGAACGATTGACAAAACGTAATTCTAGCTTATTGCCGTTTTCAAGCTCTATTCGTTCCTGTTTGATCTCGTACTTGATCCTTGATTTCAAGATCACTCCTTCAATGAATTGTGGACCTGCAATACTTCTCACTAACTTAGATGTGTCTCACATAATTCTCCAACACCGTGTCAGGCTCAATTTCTTGATATTAATTCTTAAAACACCAAATGCAAACCAAAGCCCAGTAAACCATGACTTCGGCTATTTAGGTGTTTCGTGACATATTTAAGCTAGAAAAACTAATAAACGCAAATCTCAACACACATCAAATGTGTGTCAAGATATGGACTTATCATGTGTGCAATTACTAAAACTATTCACGTGTTTGGACTTAGGCAGGTTGTATGACACCATAATTCTGCAAATAGAAAGTAACATGGAGTACTACACAATACTTATTTCAAAAGTAAAAAATATGACGATGCCTTAAAGCTAGAGATGACAATTGTGACCAGTCCAATGAATACCCCCAACTGAATCGCTCCTGTCATAGTGAGAAAAACCATATTGATGACTGGATAATGAGTATGGGGCGGGGAATACCCGTTTTAGTTTTATGGGTAACAGAGTTGTTACGATTTTATATGTGTCTGTCCCATTACCCGCCCCGTTTATATTCATTTATATTTTTATTACATTTTTTCTATATATATTTGTCCCACAATAAATAAAAGATAATATTTTTCTCTTTTCATTGTGTATATATGGATGTACTAACTATAATGTACGGATTATGAATGAAAGTTCATAATTGATTTTAATAGTCTCATTTGGTTATTGTCATATTTTTTCTTGATTTTTTTTTTTCAATTTAAGTATTTTTAGGTTCAAATTAAGTTAGATTGTCTTTTTCTTGTCTTGTAGATGCACAAAACTTTTAAGTGGCATCTCACGTCTAGAGTCATCTAGGCGATACCATTTATTTTCCTTTTAAAATTACAATATTTATATTAAAATATCAATGACCCGCGGTTATAATCGTTACACATTGGTGCAGTTATGGTTTGGATAAAGAATATCCGTTGAGTAATGGGACTGTTACGGATTGGGGATTCGGGGAAGTTACTCAATGGGGCGGGTACGGTTATATGCATAACCGTTCCCGATCTGCCCTGGTACCATCTCTACTTAAAATATGGCGAAGTCTTAAAATATGGAAAAGTTAATTATTTCTCACATCTCTGGAAAAGTTAACCGCCCCCACCATGCAAGTACGTTTTAACAAAAGTACGTCACGTCTTAGAAGCATGAATATACGAGATCATACACTGTACACCCAGTTATACAGTACGCGCTCATTGTACAACGGTATATTGCATGTTATGTTTTGGTCTAGTCCCCCTCTCTTTTTGTATGTTTTCACTTTTCTTAATAAAACCCGGTAAATGTTCCCCGACATTTACCCCACCTGCGGGTGGTTTACCTTCCAGGATAAAAAAAATGTTTTTTTTTTTTTTTTTTTTTTTTTTTTTAGCAATATAAATTGTAAAATACTGCATATTAAAACAAAATTCAGGTTGAACAAGATAAAAATCATTAGGAAACAAGAAAATTTTCACTTTCAGAATAAGATAATCAAATGGTGATGACTTTTCTCTAAAAAACTAGAGCATGGGGTTTCATGCCTTCCTTCAGGGAGAATCTTGCACCCAAATAAGTCTTCAAATCTGGAACTGACTCAATTGCTTTAATCAGAACGGCATCAACTTCCTTCTGGTCATCCTTCTTCTCTTGAGGTAGGGCAATCTTCTCCTCTTTGTCTGCATCAAAGAACTCTCCTTCGGTCTTCTTCTTCTTCTTTTCTCCCTTCTTAGCGAAGTACTTATCGTCAATCTTCTCCAAATTTACACCAGAAATGTCAACTTTCGTTGAGGTTGCAATCACATAAGCTTGATTCACGCGCCTCAGAGGAACGCCGTTGATCTTGAATGGGCCAGTGATAAGAAGAAGCCCAGACGCGAGTTGCTTTAGGAACACAACCCTCTTTCCCTTAAATCGACCGGCGAGGATAATCAGAACTGTTCCCGGAGTGATACTGGACCTAAGCTTAGTTGGTTTAGGTTTATGCTTGTTGACGAGTGGCTTCTTAACATCGTCGGCGGGGTAAAACTTCGGTGGCTTCTCGGCCACCGGTGCTTCGGCGATCTTCTTTTCGTGGTGAGGAAATTTTCCGCCGTTTTTGGCTTTGATTGCCCAAAGACCCCTCTTGTGGTACATCTTCGACCTTGAGAAGGTGCCGACGCCCCTGATGAGCTCAGGGTTCCGAGACTTTTTGGCCGCCATTAGTATTAAATCTATGTATTGGTAGCACAATATAAGCATGCAATTGAATATCATGATCCACGTGTAATATATATACTACAAATCGATCAACTTATTCAGTTTTAGGATAATCGCACTTTCAACCCCTCAAATAGTACCCACATTAAAATGTAGTACGTCCCCATGTTTTTGAGTTTGTAAATTTCACCCCTCAATTATCAAAGCTGTTGTAAATGTGGTTGCCGCCGTCAAATCTTGAGTTTCCATGAGCCAAGCCTTATCATCATACTAGCGCCTTTTACTCGCAATGCGCAAGACTGAATGCCCAAAAATACGTACAATTTATCATCAATGCCCGACAATACAATTTTTCATCAATACTCAATTGCAATTTATATTGGAACAACAACATTTCATATTAAACCCTCAAGTTAAACTTATCTTGAATCAAAGTATGTTGATATTCCAATCAACTATTCATTGTTATGGTATATGTAGTTGCTAGTCACTACATATAATAAACATCTTCCATTGACATTGGTCTTTGAACTAAATAGTACGGAGTATAATTAAGATTGTTGATGAATCCATATCTACCATAAGTTTATACGGAGTAACAAAATAGCTAAAATCACGTGTTAAAATAACAAAGGTGAGCTTTAATTTAATATGACTTATAACTTAAACATGTCGCTTCTTCTGAGTTTCTTTTAATATTTTGTAACCATTTTATTTACCTATTGTTTAGCATATTAGTATCATCAATTAAGATGATAAATTTAGGTTTCTAATGTTTTTTGGAGTTTGACTTTTTTAATGATATATGATTTCGTTTTTTGTACGTACTTGAATAGATATTTTTGTGTGCTATTGTCAATCAAACTGGTCAATAATTATTTGAAAATGAATTTGGGACATATGTAGTAATAGGGATTGGTTCAAGTAAAAAGTAGTCTTCTCATGAAAAGTGAGAACAAATCTTGGCCTTCCATCACTTGAAAATGGATGGATTAGATGAACTTTAAACACAAGAGATGATTTCAAAAAATGTGCAAACGTTTATACTATAAAGTGGATAGTTACTCATTAAATGTGCACTCATGCGTGTCAAAAAAGATTGTAAAACTTTTCCAGCTTGTGCACTTTTTATTTTGTACCGTATTGCACTTTTGTGCTCTACGTGTGCACTTTTTGACTATGATCATGCACATTTGTTATAATATTTTCAATAAAAGTTCTTCGTAATTACAAATATGCCACCGCGTTTCCTACCTCAAAATTGATCTTTTCCATCCATTTTTTCACATCAATGGCCAAGATTAGTTCTTATTTTTACCTAGGAAGCACTTTTTATTTGATCCATACTCTGTAGTAATATAATACATAATGTATTTTAACATAATATCTTCATAATTCGGTAGCTTCGAGCAATTATTCAATTTTTAGAGACAAAGACTCAACGAATCAGTTCATTTTGGATCTTACTTGACAAATCCTTTATTTTCTAGTTTAATAAAGGGATTTTTTTGTAATTAGTACAACTCCTATAAATGTTAGAGCCAACAATAGTTGCGTATAAAATATTTTAATTTAGTAGATTTTATCAGTTTAGTCATTTCAAGCACAATTCCACAACATTAAAAGATTAACCACTTTAAAATCTCTAAAACATTTCAAAAGTATTATTTATTTTTCATGTGAATATCAATTTATAAATACATATTTTCAATCTTCATAGACTAAAAGTATGGGCCATTGTTCTGACAAAGACCAAATGTATGAATGTATGAATGCAGATTGCCACAATTACGTCAATTACTTGTAAGTAGTTGTAACTATGGCAGGGCCTTTTGTTCATTAAAATTCGGGTATAATATTTTAATAGAAAAATACAAGCTTTCATGCACCGGAAGCTAAGTATTGACACAATTCAAGGATAAAACCAAAATTCACAACTATAATATTTTTAAATTAAGAGAAAAACATATGCGGTGATGCATAACTGTTTCTTTATGATATCTGATGCTCCATATACTGTATAGTTGGAAGACGATATGTTTCCACGTTAATATCTCTCTGATATTCATTCCGTATTTATACGTTTACAATTGAGTATGTGATAACTATCTAAGTAGTTGTACAAGCTGCGCTGCGCTACCTATTAAATTACATCTAATAAGCTGCGTGAGAGGCGCCAACTATCTCAACAAATAAAATGCATTTTCGAAACTGCACCATCTTGTCAACTGTTAAATGTCTTATTCTTCAAAGAATTTGTTGCACTACAAGCGCTTTTATACAGGTGGTAATACACATTACATACATGCACAAGATTTCAATGAGTTATGATTTACCTCTTTTAGTTTATTCAATTAATTTCACATAATAACGATTGGATATTTTCTAACTATCAATGGTTGAGCATGATTTTTTTTTACAAAACTTTCAACATTTGGCAATTTGATATACCACTACCCATGTTCCATATTGGTTGTCCTATGTTAATTTGACACGATTATTAATAAAGTGGTTGAAAAGTAAATGTTATGGTTGAGATTGGATCGGAGTAGAATAAAGTGAAATGATAGAGACCACATATTTCTTGCCAAAAAGGGAAACACGACATTCATTTTGGGACAACCCAAAAAGGATATTAGGACAACCAGAATGGAACGGAGGGAGTATTATTTATGTAAAATAGGGTGTGATGCACAACTTTTAATTTATCATATCTTTTCTTAAGAAATAAAAACTGCAGTTATTAAAACATTTAACCTTATAAAATGATTGACATCGAACTATATATGTTTTTTTAGGATAAGATCATCATCGTAATGTAGGAGTCGAGATATAATCTTCTTAAAAAACATGATAGTAATAGGTGTACTGTTAAACAAATGATCCCCCGACATTTGCCCCACTGATATTAGTGGTTTGCCTTCCGGGTTAAAAAAAAGGTGTACTGTTAAACCTAGTGACGAAACCTCTACCACACCATTTCTAGGATATTTTTTCAAGAAAAAGTTTCTAGTTTAGAGTGAGTTAATTTCTTATCTTTTATACATATAGTATACCACATACGAGTGTATTTATGTGTAGATACTCGCTTCGTCCCAGCTTAAACTTCTCACATTCCTCAATGGATGTTTAAGTTCAAGCGTCTCATATATATTTTAAGAAATAATTAGCATTATAAATGACAAGTTAATCACCGAACATTGAGAACAATACACCTATAACATCACATTTATCATCAATGACCTCATTATATGATATACCCATCAAATCCACTTCTAAAAATGTACTCAAATAAACTTATTTTAATATTGTCCAAATAATTGTGCAAATTTCAATAAGAAATTTAAGCTAGGATGAAGGTAGTAATAAATAACTAAAGTTGAAATATGAATTCCACTCGAGAAAAGTAATTCAAATCATGCTCTTCAATGATACTCAAGGTCTACAACTATGATCTGATCCATAACATCTAAACGTTTGAATGATCTAATAGTGTTGCAAATTTAATCAAGATCTAGATGAGTAAACGCAGGTGTTCGAAATAGAACTATGTATGAATTTATATCCTAAGCGAGTGGCATCTTATTCTTGAACGGTATTCCATTTAAATGAATAATGATCTACGGACATAGAACGAAAGGTGTTGAAATCCTAATAAGATTATTCCACACCCCTCTATGCCAATAGCAAGCTTAGTGTATGTTATAAGATCTTATATAACATCATATTGCGGTCATTGGCTAATGATAAGTCGATTTGTATACGTTTATCGATCGCCTCCCAGATTGTTTCTACCAATCAGTAGAAACACAATGAAAAATATAAGACGCTGTCAAAACAAGCAAGTTGTGAGTGAGCATATATTTAGTCGTATTTGTTATCCTTATGAACAAATGGGAGATTCAGAAGTACAAAATGGGATATGAACCAAAGTGTACACCGGCTATGGGGATTGGAGGTTAGGAGTGGTTGTGCACCAAGGTGCAATAGAGAATTAGGATTCCAATGTGTAACGATGCACACTCATTACAATGTGAAGTTGTTTATTTGGTAAGAGAAACTTATTCGGAACACAACTATGTATTATCATAGATGATAAAGTGACCAAAAATAGTCTATTGGATAACTAAACAAGCGAAAAGCCATGCATATACATTCTAGCAATTTCCTTGCACGGAGACATTAAGGACATGTAGGTGCTACATTATAACAAAAACGTACAATGTTTGTCGAGAATATCTCATGAACACATTCGAGATGAACCAATAATGCATAACACACACCTTTATCATTGGCGACAATGGGAAAAAAAAGTTTCCTTTTTATAACTAAACTAACAAAAATGGAATGTGGGTACATTATTACAATTGCTTATAAAGAAAAATTAAGGGCATGTAGGTGCTACATAATGACAACGACAATGTTTGTCAGGAGTATCCCATGAATACGTTCTAGATGAACCTGGTCCAAATTGCTTAATACATGTGGGTATACAAATTTGCACCAACGGAACTGCACCTTCACACGGGAGATGTTTATCTATCAGATCAACATATCAAATTTTATCACCGTTGACATAGAGATTTTCCGGAATCATAAGATTAACTGCAAACAAATATATGAGTGTTGTATATGAAGAAAAACATAATTACTAACTAGATATTAAAAAGTACTAACACATTTGCATGCTGAATGTTTCTGTGTGGAATACAATTCGTTTAGTGAGACACGAATAAATATGGTTTTATGAGATCCATATAATATACTTTGTGTACTGATTTTTCATTTTCTAGCTTATAAATCATTCTAATATTTTAGTACACACTAAAAGGTTTTGTAAAGAAATAAAATTCCTTAAGCATATCTATATATTTTTAAATAAATTTCAAACTCTTTTGGATACAAATTTGTGTGTTTTTTATGTTCTTTATTGATTTTCCATTCCACTCAAAGTTACATATTTGGCGCTACCTCATGAACAAAACATAAGTTATAGAATATATCGTAGATATACCTGTAGCAAGAGTGATTAGG